GCACCAGACTGTGATATGTTCCGTTCCTCTCTCGCCGAGTTCAAAGTACGGTTAAAGAATATTTGCTTTCACTAATTACTTTTGTTTTACATACGAGTATCTTTTAGTCTGTGTTACATGCATACCTGACTGTGATATTTTATACTTGTGTTGTAATGTTGTTATCCATTCTGTAAGTGGACCTTTGGGTCTGTTGAATTGGAAATTAATTAATTAATTTCAGATAATAATTGAACTGGAACCATCGACATTTTTGTCAAGTTTAACCGTACGAAGAGTTTTCCTTCAGCGGCACAACAGAATACGAAATTGAACAGTACATAAGACGCGGTTTGTTTTATGATTTTTTTCTATGTACTTTTCAACATTTCAATGTCATTGTTTGTGTTTTATCAATCCATTAGTCCGAACAATACCAACAGATGCACAGGAAGGAAGACAAATAAAAATGGCGCTCTAGACAACGTATGCAATTTGTTGAACTTCTTGACACAATAATCTAAAGTTTTGAAATAATTATTTTAAAAGGACAGGTAATAACATATATGTGTGTGTTTACTTCTCAAATAAGTATTGTGTGAGAAATATATCCAGATGGCGTTAGCCCAACGTCCAATGGACGCACGCGGTTAGTATTTCTTATATTATATAATAAACGTGCTATTTACATTTTATCTGTCGATTCCGCGCAACAGTCACCAATGTTTATCTAGAATGTCTGTTAAGAATGCATAAATTCGATTGTGTGCCATCGTATAATGTCTATATCTTTCTTTAAACTAGATTGGAGAAACCAATGACCGCCATTACAACGTCAGCGGGGATGAATGATGACATCATATTAATATATTTCCCCCATTAAGGAGGCACGGTAGTCCAGTGGTAGGACGCCGGGCTCGTGACCGAAGGATCGCGGGTTCGCGCCACGGCACGGTTATGTGTGGTATCTTTGAGCAAGATACTTTACTCCGCTTGTTCCAGTCTACTTAGCTGTAAATGAGAACGTGGTTGGGCAGTGCTAAAATTGTCGGATGCTAGCTGTTAGCGCCGAAATGGCAGCTCCGGTTCCCAAGGGAGTTGAGAAATGTATTGACTGGTTGCAAAGACCCTAAAACCACGGATAATAATTTGTGAACCGCATTGAGACGACCTGCGAACTAGGATGTGATAAAGCGGTATATAAGAACCTCAAATTTTTATTATTATTATTAAAATGCATTGCCACTATTACGTATATGTATATGTTCCTCTACTAAATGTAGATGGCATTCAAATACGGATTGAAATGCATCTTATTAGCATTTATGGTGGTATGCATCTATCTTCCGTTCAAACATGTTCAATAGAGCGCGGTACCGCATCTTGGAAAATATGTTTGAACGGAATTGTGTTGCAAACTATCATGAATACTGAAGAAAACCCATTTTTATCCCTTGATGCTGTTTTACCAAATATAGTGGAACAATATGTATAAAAAATTATACAGTACACATAAAAAAATGTTCTATCAAACGTGTTGCACGTGAATTTCACTTCGCTTCAGAATTGGTCCCCGATTAAGTTTACAGTGTATCGGAATGAGCCGAACAGTGTCCGATGGGAAAAACCTCACGTGTACTAGCTTTCGCTGTTTTTGGTATAACATTTTAGTTGTAAGGTTTATCCAGAGGCTGTACACTGGAAACATTTATATCAGTCGTATGGCTTCCATGGCCCAGTTGTTGACGTCATCATTATTATGGCGTCATATACACTTAATTAAAATGTGAACCGCTTTGAGATGACGTACAAACTAGGTTGTGATGAAGAGGTGTATAAGAACCTCGAATTATTGTTAATGTTAACTTCAGCGCTGAATTATGATAATTATATCAATCAAAATTTTCTAGGAGATGAATTTCAAAAATAGTAAGCATAAATGTTTTACTGTTTTCAGTTGGCATTTAAAGCATTTTTATTTCGATTTTATTAAACAGAAAAATTACATTTATAATACATCCGACTAGGGTCTAGAAAAACACTCATCACGTTTCGTGCACTACCCACATAAACAAGAAATGATTGGAGTCAAGCCTTAAACAGCCCATATGATTCCAGGAAAGTCAGACTGAGCTTGCTTCATCGATTCTAGAACGACAAAGCGTATACGTAATGTTACGATTTATTGAAAGCAGAGACGTATATATTATATATATTATATGTCGCTAACATCGTCGGGGCACTCATTGACCCAATTTTAGACTGTTGCAGGTAATTACGTCACAGCGTCTCTGTGACCTAGCACGCAATCGAGCGTCATCAGCGGGTCATGATTGTCACATTGTCTGCATGACGTAACTGTGGTAAACATCACGTCATACAAATATTGTCATTCGGTGCAACTTGTCTATTAGCTTATATATCCGTAAATATTCTAAAAGCAACATAATTAAACAGGCCAGTTCTTGCTAAGCACTCATCAGAGAAACCAAGAAACAAAAGCAGCCGATTAATGACGAAAAATGGATCCGCGATTGAAGTTGTCCTCTCAATATTAATTTTGTTGGGGGGG